CTGGAAGAGCTGATTTTTATGAACAAGAATAAAGTACATGACAACCTATAATAGCAATCAGCAAGTTTCATGTGACAAAGACTAATGAATTGATTAAGGACAATCTATTGATCAAGTCTGAAATTTCACAGGAACCTGTGAGTCATATAATTAATATTCTTCAGTACTGGAAGGTGTCTACAACATGGGTTCCTTGCATGCTGATGACAGAAATGAAATCTCCGAGAGCTAAAATATACAAGCAACTATTGTCAGGCTATGCAAATGAAGGTAAGGACATTCTTTATAGCTTGGTGACAGTAGACAAAACATGGAATCATCTTTATGAGCCAAAAACTAAGTGTTTGCCCATGTAATATAATCAAAAAGTTTCACCTGCTGTACAACAAAAAGTCAAAACCCAGACATGGGCAAGAAAACTTATTGTTATAGATTTTAGGATGCAGATGGTGTTATTTTTTTATTTATGAAATTTATTTGCCACCCATCTCGTATCCAATGATTCTGGGCAACTTGTTCAAATGGATTTTTTGAACCTGACACTACTTCATAGCACTAGATTGCAACACCCAGCATTTTGGAACAATGATTAAGCCAAGTTCAGAAGCACAAAAGGGTTGTTCTGCTGTAACCCAACAATACTAAGTCTCATACATTACAAGCCCCCCCAGAAGTGATTGCAAGGTTGGATCTCACAGTTTTACGCCACCCCCATACAGTATAGACTTGGTACCATATGAATTTCATCTTTCCCCAAAACTGAAGGAATGTCTATAGGGATATCTGTTTGACTCAAATGAAGAGGTGCAAAACACTGTCAGCACCTAGTTCAGGGGTAGGCAACTTTGGCTCTTTTATGACTCATGGACTTCAACTCCCAGAATTCCTGAGTCAGCATAGCTGACTCAGGAATTCTGGGAGTTGAAGTCCATGAGTCATAAAAGAGCCGAGGTTGCCTACTCCTGACCTAGTTGAAGAGACTATGAAGTATAGAGTTCTTTCATGATGACTTTGAGAAGTTTGTTATTGTTGGTAGAATTTTCTGACAGTTAAAATAATTAATCAATAGAGCAGCTTGCCTTCAGAAGTTGTGGATGCTCCATCACTGGAGGATTTTAAGAAGACACCCTATACCATTTGTCTGGAATGGTATAAGGTCTCTTGCTTGAGTAGGGGTTGGACTAGAGGACCTCCAAGGACCCTTCCATCTCTGTTATTCTGTTAAGTACATGAGTATGTGGAGAAGTATACATAGGTATTTCCCTGTTTCACTTATTAAAATATCCCTATTTAAATTAAAGATAAGTGAAGACATTATTTTTCATTCAACCATTCTATACTTCCCCTTTCCTTGCCCTACCATCTGACCAATCTGAATCTAGTTTTCCAATTCACTACAAAAGGTTCTGAAGTCTATATCCTTTTTCACAATAAACTAAGACAACACCATGTCTTTGATGGGAAAACCTTTCCTTTCCCAAACCCCTGACATGGCTGCATACATTTTATAATTTAGTTTATCTCAATCACGTAGCGATCCCACCTGTGTAAGAAAAAGAAAAAGAAAACTGATGCAAATTATTTCTTTACTGGAAAATATGCTCCAGCACAGTGCTATGACAAGGCTTCAACACTAAGAGTCTGAGCTTTTCTTGTTTTTTTTAATGAAACAAAAGGGAGGAGGATGTTTTCTTTTTATTTTGAAAGACATTAAAATGTAGACTTTTCTGCTTTTTCTTCTTTGTAAAAGGAATGTTCAATGAGAACATTTTCTACTAATGCCCAAAACTGATGCAACTTCTTTTGGAACTGAGAAGAAACAGGTGGCATGGAGAGAGGAGAGTGGGTGGATTAGGAAGAAATAGGCAGGGGTTGAAGAAAGATATTATGGGGAGGCTGGGAAGGATCACAGAACATAGAGGATACTGCATGAGGAAGAAAGAGTGGAGAGATGGAAGAAAATATGGTTGAGAAAGGGAGGTAGGAAATGTAGCAGCAACTGAGTATAACAAGAAGAAAAGCTGGGGGGGGGGTAGGATGGGGTGGAGTGGGGAAGGTATGTGGAGTGCCTCACCCAATCAGGATTTATGAGGCCCAGAGGCAGCATGCTTTGCATTCCTATGGTAGTCAGTAGTGATAATTATGGATAACCATACAAAATTGTATGTGGGGAGGTCTTGAGGCCTCAAACATGAGGCCAAATAAACACCTATACCACTCTAGTCTGAAAGCTGAAGCAGCAAAAAAGGAAGGTTCATTCCTAACATCTTCTCCTCTGTAGTCAATAACTTTCTGACTTCATTCAAATGTTTGGAGCACGAAAACTGCCAAACAATGTCAGTTGGTGAATAAAATACAAAGTATTTATCAGCAAGGATCCTGTTTTCAGTATTTTTAAAATAATTGTGTGGGAAGTCAAAGCCCCAGAGAAGGAAATATTAAAAAGGAAAAAATATTTTTCACCAAAAGGATTTTTAAAAGCATTTTTTGAAAAGCAGAAACCAAACCTTGCCTCATCTCTTTGCCCAAACCAGTAGCTAGGCCTATACAAATGCAGATGTAGAACCATCAGTAGGTTTGGAGCCAGGGATCTCAAGACAAAGGAAGCTCTTAAGAGTCATTAGCCCCATCACCAGGGAAACAGGAGACTTACTTTTGGGACATAATGGGACTAACCATTACCATCAAG